TAAAACTGTCCTAGGAGGAGCGTGGGAAATATCGACTGTGATCTTATAGGGTGCAATTTATAGTGAAAACGAAAGACCGGTTGAACCGCAGTGAACAGTCTGGGGTAGTGTATCGCATCCCATGCTTGAGCAGTTCTTGTGACTATACAGGGCAAAATGAACGCATGCTTGGTTCGCCTATACACGAACATAAGCTGGTTGTCAGACGGGATGACGCATTGTAGCAAGTGGCTGCCCACACATATGAGAAGTGCTACGAATTTAACTTCGTAGCCGCAAGGATAATTTTTCACACCAACAACAAGACAGGACGATAACTAATTGGGGCCTGGGCTTTGGATGACAACTCAGTTAACCGAGGTATCGAGCTGTCGCCTGCATACATCACCCTCCGCAGGCATATCCACACGGTCGACACTGGGGATTAATGAGTTTCCTTCCTTCTTGCCCCATAACGGTCGATTGGCTCCTGCCCTCTATTACTGTTACTTGTTTTTGTTGATACTTTTGTCTCTGGAAATAGAGTCCCGCAAGAGCCCAAAAGCTCAGGATAATAAAAAATGATCCGGTGTTAAACAACCCTTCTTCCTCATCCATGCAAATACCGGGAATGCAAACGGTTTCATTCCTTCCTGAACATTATCCTCTGCAGAATCTATCCCCGTCCCCTCTTCTTTTCAAAGATCATTTCCAAATGTTGATTAAGTTTCTTCGTTTTGCAATCCTGATGATGGTCTTCGCGGACTCTGCCGATCGTGGCAAATTCTTCTGTTTTCGCCACCTTTTCGGTGGACTATGCACCGGTGTCAGCAAGGCGTTTGTCACGCCAAGATGGAGCTGATGGGAAGAGGAACCGGTGAGGAGGATCAACGCAATTTTAGGACGATCTTCTGGTCCACAGTGTTGGGTGGCGGTCTAGGTCATGAAGCATCGGGATCGGGAAAGAGTCACGCACGGAGACTTGATTCAACTATTGGTAATCTCTGCAAGGCAGAAAATCCTGCTCAGAGACCTGCGAATCCGAAAACACTTCGTTTGTTGGCTCTTGAATCCCTTACTTGATTGAGGAGTATGAAGGAAGGAAGTTTTGTTTGTAGGTTTGAAATTACAATTATGCAAATGCTCAGCGGTCCTGGTTGTCAGTTGCCTTTGCGTGCACGCAAGATACTTGCACCTACAAATACACGTGGATTCATAAACACAGTTTGGGTGGCATGCAGCGGCAAGACGATCGCGGAGTGTTAAGGGCCTAAAATATAAAATTTATTTATTTATTAAGTTTAACCCGAACGGCTGCGGTCTACCAGGCCCGACTCCTTAGGGGATGAGAGAAGTCTTGGGAGGGCCAGATTAGAATAAGAGTATATTCTGTACAGACGGAAAGGAGAATAGTTTGTGGTTTGCACGTCCAGCCGCAAAGCGGACTAGGACCGAAGTGATGTCTAGTGGCAGCCACGGCCTTGAGGTTTGTCTAGACGGATTGAGGTCATGCCACTGTGGGTTGAGGCCAGAATGGGGAAGACACGGTGCGTGCGCTCGCCCGCGTGTCAGTTCGCGTCTGGCCCGAGGCACACGAGAAACTGCCTTCACGCGAGGTCCCATGCTCTGAGTGACCTCGTCTGTGGGGTCACGATTTAGGAGTGTGTCGGGCAGCAGCGACCACTACAAGGCATCCTTTGCCTATTCAGGTAGCTAGACCGAGTTGGTAGTCTCCAATTACCCTGGTAATTGGGTGCCTAGATTTAATAACGACTGTAAAATTCAGTCGCCTTTTTCTCTCCTATACGATGGTTTAGGGTAGTGTCTTTCATCTGATCATCATGCGCAGTGAAATATGATCCTTGCTGTTATGCTCTGACCATCTGTGAAAATTCCATTCGCGGCAAAGGTAGTTTAAGTGGTGCACCTCGTATAGCCCTAGTCTCATCATTCTGTCCTACCAAGACAGTAGTTATAGGGGTTTGGGGGATGGGAAAATAGGACAGGCAGTGAAGTGAATTTTTAGACGTAAGTGTGAAGTGGAAAATGTGGTTTAATTTTTTCCCACGGCCAGTGAGAGTAAGTTGTTCCGCATGTAAATTGAAAGTGTGTCTGGCACTTCGCGCCGCGGACTATACTAATCCAACTCCAGAATGGTAAGTTGGACCTCAGGTAAGTTGAAGTAGACGACCTCCTCTCCACTATTTATATTTTTTCGGGAATTTCAATAAACCTGCATTTTGATAATAGGGGTTTTCTGCAGTACAGCTATAAATCAACATTTCTTAATACAATAAAATAAAAATGCATACAATGGTTATTAAAGTATATTTCTCTGCCTATCGTAATTCCTCCCCCCCATAAAACCACTGTAATCACCGTTTTCGTGGGACAAAATGCCCCATTCGCTACCGAAATCATGCAAAGGCGGGTTGCATTTGAAAAGCCGACGGGAAATTTATTAGATCCAATAATTCCTGCTATCCATGCCTGTTTTAAATTCGTACCGGGAAAATGCTTCATTAAAAGGACTTTATGGAAACCGCAAATTTTACAGAACTTACTT